TATTTGCTTTATGTGAATATATGACTATAATCATCTAATAATTTTTGCAGCTGGTTATATACACAAGAATTTTTATACTCGTTCTTTTCTTCAGCATTTTTACTAGAAATTAATCTTAAAAGAAATATTCAGTGGAAGACCTTTATTTATTATCTCTTAAACTGATATACCTCAAAACTGTAAAAACTTATATGCAATTTAAACAAATCTGAAGACTATGAATAATTTAAATGAGAATTTACAGCATAAAATACCACATCTTAACTCCAGTCCAGTTTTTGACTTCTTGATTCAGACGATAAATTTGTCAAGTTTAATTTTTCGGAATTTCAAAATTATCAATACAATTTAAACTACTCTCAGAAATTATATTAACCTCACTGTTTGTATCTATAAAAGCAAGAAAGTTAGTGCTTTTAATATTTAAATTGTCATTTTGGGTTTTTTTTTTTTTTTTTTTTTTAAATTTTTTTATTATTTTGATGGGCTGCTGGTGACTTATTTTAATGCTGGATATTGTGAATGATGGTGGATGCATATTTCTATAGATTTAATTTTGAGGCAAATAAGATGCAGTATTATGCCATGGATAATTAAAATACAGTCAAAAGTCGTTAATTCGGACACCCATAATCCGAAATGATCTATTATCCGGACCTCAAAGCTACAAACTTTCTGCACATGCGTCAACGTGACGCATGCGCGTAAGACCTTTACGGCTGCGAATATGCATGTGCGTATGCGCATAATACGATTACACATGCGCGTTTAATGTATAACGGACGGTATAAGCTAAGCTAAAATTATCTAATTCAGTTAATGAATGCCGCAGCGCGCAATGAATTGGAAGTTCATCTGTCAGCACTATCTTTATCTTCGGGGCAGATGTTTTTATTTTATTCGGCTTATAATTCCTTACTAAATGTAGTGTTTCATCTTGATGTACTCTGCCTTTGATATGATTTAAATCAAATTCCTTGTCATTATAATTCGCTTCGGATAGTGAAGAAAGTGACACAGAGGTTATTGAAAACGAAAAAATTTCGATTGACAAATTAGTCGGTATTCTTGACACAGCAAATATATTACTTGAAAAGCGGAACTTTGTAACTGAACAAGAAATTATGTCTGTTTATAGAATTAAAGAGAAAGTATTATCACATAAAACGAAGCAACTTAAACAACTTACATTGAAAGAAATGTTTAATAAAGTAAACAAATATATATTAAGCTTTTTTTTTTTTTTTTTTTGTAAATTTTGATACCCTTTAGATCATAATTGTTCTTTTTTTCATAAATTACGGTTTCATATTTTTAATTTTATAATTTCTGCATGCCATCTTACCAGATTTAAACTGATGATCTATAATCCGGAAAAATCGATAATCCGGAATCGCTGAAGTCCCGACAAGTTGGGATTAATGACTTTTGACTATATAAGCAGGGTGAAACATTCTGCTTAACAGTAAATTTAGTGCCTTATGTTTTTCTTTTATTGATATGAGCTGGAAGTTGTAGCAAATAGTGTATGTAAACATAATGCAGAACATAATTTTAATTTTCATTTGAAATACTTATGAATATCTTTCAATTTGTTATATGTAACTAAAAATTCTCAAACAAAATGTTTTCTAAGTTAGAGAAATATGTTAAATATTTTTCTTGTAGAAGATTCCAATCTTAAATTTCAATCCATTTGTGGATATAGAAGGATAAGGCTTCGCCCTTTAAAAAATTTGGGGAAGTACTTAATTTCTCTTTTTCAGAAACATATTTTCACTGCAATATTTTTCCCAAAATATTAGCTGTTTATCAAGAGGTAGATCTTTAATAGGATCAAAAACAGGGTGCATATTTTTTTTTTTTAACCTAAAGAAATGATTTCAGATGTTTCTTATATTTTAGAAGCTTTGGATGCTAGTAAGCATTCATAATTAATGATACAGTCAAAAGTCGTTAATTCGGACTCGTCGGGACTTCGGCGATTCCGGTTTATCGAGTTTTCCGGATTATAGATCATCAGTTTAAATCTCATAATATGGCATGCAGAAATTCTAAAATTAAAAATATGAAACCGTAATTTATGAAATAAAGAACAATTATGATCTAAAGGGTATCAAAATTTACAAAAAAGCTTAATATTTATTTGTTTACTTTATTAAACATTTCTTTCAATGTAAGTTGTTTAAGTTGCTTCGTTTTATGTGATCATACTTTCTCTTTAATTCTATAAACAGACATAATTTCTTGTTCAGTTACAAAGTTCCGCTGTTCAAGTCCCGTTAATTGCTGTGCCGAGAATACCGACTAACTTGACAATCGAAATTTTTTCGTTTTCACTAACCTCTTTTTCACCTTCTTCATGTCTTTATCCATTTTTTGCAGCAATTCCACTTTTTGTTTGTTGGACATCGAAACATACTTTCATTTTGTAGATCCTTTGGGAGTTCCAGCATCGGAAATTCTGTTTGACATAGTCGAAAGTTCAAGTTTACTTTTATAAAATTGCTCTTACAGTCTGCAAAAAATAATAAGCCGGATCCAATTCGAAGATTAAGGAAAAACGCAATTATCAACATTAACTGAAATAGATAATTAGATAATTTTAGCTTATACCATCTATTATACATAAAACGCGCACGCGAAAACGTATTCTGTGCTTGCGCACACGCATATGCGCAGTCGTAAAGGCCTTATGCACACGCGTAATTGCTTATGCGCATGTGTCAATGCGGCGCATGCGCAGAAAGTTTTTAGCTTTGAGGTCCGGATTATAGATCATTCTGGATTATGGGTGTCCGAATTAACGACTTTTGACTGTAATACATTTTTAAACGTCATTAATGAATTAATAAATGTTTTCATGGTGATGAAAACATTAAACATAATATTAACACAAATATAGGATTAAATGAAAATATCAAAATAATGTACATTTTTATTCTTTGATCAATATTTTATTTCTCAAAATGACAAAACTGAAGCTCTGATGTAAATTTAAACTCTATAGCACATTTATTAAATTTTGAATTGCAATTTAATTCTTTCATTGAAACCCACAGCTCAAAACCCAGGAATCAAAAGTATGTGAATCAGTTGCACAAATGATTAGGCGTGGTTTTGCTGTTCATTGAGATAATGACTGTTTATTAATTTGTATTGAAAATGGAAGTAAATAAAAAAAACAGCTGTCCAGGAACTTTAAATCACTTTATTGTAAACATTATGCTGAATTAAATCTCATTTATTTTCACTTATAGCAACGAATTTGTTACACAGTTAAGCATTTAAAGGGATGGTTAATTAATTATGCAAACATTGTGATTTAACTGGAAATAACCACTCTTATTTTAATTTTGTAAATGAACTTTACATTAGAGCATCCGTACATAGTATAAGAGGTAAGCATGATCTTGACCGATTATAAAATATGTGATGACAGGGATAAGAACAAATGCTTTCAATCATGGCTGATGTTGTAGATATTGGTGTATAGATATAAAAATATTTAGCATATTGCTGGACAAAACAATCATTGAGAAGCGCATTCTTATTACTGGTGTAATTGTAGTCCAGGTATAGCCAAATTTTTTTTTTTTTTTACTTTCTCAAATCCTGAATTTTCCGCTTTGTTTAATATAGACTCGTTATTTATCTCAAATTTTGTTTTAAAAAAGTGTATCATTCATAAGTTTTATGACTTTAAAACAACTGTATGAAGTTCAAATGAAGAGAACAAATTTATGTAAACTTGTGGAAGTCCTCCCCTTACTTTATGTTTTTCAATGATTCAGTACATTCTCAATGATGTAGTCATTTCTCAAGCTTTAAAATGGCATCATATAAAATCTAAACAAAGGAAACCATGATGGGAACTGGGATCAACATTGAGCATCAAGCAATTAGGGTTAGTCCAAGAGAGCCTAGCTTAATCCAGTCGACAATTCTAAACATAATGAGTAGCATTCATTGTAAAGGAAAGCACCATATGGACATGTGACTGTAGCATCTTATCTCAAGATCTCATTTTATTTAAACTTTGACTTACTTACACAGAGCCAAATAAGTGATGTTAATGCACAGGCTAGAGCATTCTTGAACATTGATAACCTAGATACTGTACAAACTGTGAAATAGTTATTCTCATTAAACAAAAATACATGTGAAATCTTGGGGTAGGAAATTCCTCTGAAAATTCTATTTATAAAGTTTTTAGGAGTAATATATTGAGTAGCTTAGCAGAATTCTTAACATCTTTTGAACCATTCTCATCCGGTTAGCAGTTTCAAATTTAATATTTGAATGATTAAGTGAAAAATTCATTTCATTATTGTCTACATCCAACGTTCTCATCATAGTGAATAATTTCCAACTGTTAAGGGGAAAAAAAATCGATTTCTTTCCCCTCCTTTCCCCCCAAAAATAGCAAACCAAACGTAGCAATTATTTTTTTAGTATTTTAAGTATTAAAAAAAGAAAATGTAAGTAATGTAGTGAAAAAAATTATTTTCATATATTTCACATTGCTAATGAAGTTATTTGAAAATTTGTGTGCATGTATGAGTATCACAATAATTTTCTGAATTGCTGTGGGTGTTTAATCCATGGTGAATTTTAGGATTTTTTAAATGGGATCACAATCACCTCTGCTGTTGTGAATTATAGAGGCCAATGGATTCATGTCAGTCAAATTTTTGTATAGCATGGGAAACATTAAAAAGAAAATGTAAGAAGTAAAAATGCTGCGGTTTCAAATTTCCTGTTGGCAGTTAAAGGTTTGGATATAGGTTATTTGAGTTTCTGTTTGCAAAAGGTTCTGCATAACCAGCATTATGTAAAAGCAGTTACTGTTTTTAAGACATAAAGGAGAAACAGCCAAATTAAAGTGTTAAGGGATTACAGCAATTTAAAATTAAAATTTTGCTTTACATATTTTTATCTTGTATATGATATGCATTTACATTTAATTTTTATTAATTACAAAATATTTTTTCTTTCAGAATATGTTTATTAACAGAGAGCTGGTGGAGAGAGGCTTCGCTGTTTGGGTCGACAGCAGCCATTGGGATCCTCACTGACAGTTTGCTGCTCTGCATCAATATAGTTGTCCTTGCTTAGGCATCTGAGGGTTGACAGTGGAGAATATGTAGTTTTATAATGCTTTAATCTGAGTGCTAGAAGTGGAAAAAGTGGGAACTCATTACTATTGGTTAGATTAGTTGAACTGGGAATATGTGGCATAAAATTATGTTGAGTTCTGTATATCCCTTTAGTTTTTTCTTAAATTTCGATAAATTTTGAATATTTATATGTAAATGTTTTTCTGTATGACCTATGGACAATGTTAGTTAATGTTATTAATTTATTTCATGTGTTACAAATGGATAAATTTATGTTGATCTGTAAGCAAAATCTGAGTGTATTATAATTAAACTTGTTTCTAAAATAATTCCCCAGCCACATGATTCTTGAAAAAGCATGCATGTTTGCTTGTTTAAGAAAAAACAGTATATGTATTTGCATCTTCATTTTTATTGTTTGACATTTTCCCAAGTACCTTTTATGATCTTTTGTAGGCTTTGAGACGAGGGTTCCGAATATGTGGAGAAAAATTTTAAGAGCGATGATTTTAGAAACATGAAGAAAATAACCATCAAGAAAACAAACAGTCCTTTTTGGTTCAAATGACTTTGCAACAGGTTTTAGAGTTTGTTTGGATTTTTGATACTGGCCAAATTTGAGCAGCTTGGCCTGTTTTTATTTTCTTAGTTCATGTTTTACTCCATTTGTTTTATTAAGATAATTTGTGTCTTTGTGTAATGAAAAAAAATGTATGGTATTTTTTGTAGTGTGTTGGAGGTAGAATATTTGTAGCTACGATTGTAACAGAGTTATTAGCATTTACTTTCATTTTTATTTATTTCAAAGATCGAGTGCAGCTAACAGTAAAGTAAATTCTTTAAGTATGAGATTAATGCTTTAGAAAGGGTGCAGATGTAATTGTTAATATTTGGTAGTGACTGTCTTGTTTTCCCTTGTGATTCGTTTGTTTTCTTCTAAATTGTGTTTGTGTAGTGCCAAAAAGAAGAAGAAAAGTGGAAAAAAAAACCATTGTATAAGTGTTTTAAAAAATTTTAAAACCATTTTTTCCCAAAAAAGGCTTTATCTTTTATAATATAGATTCCCCCTCTGAGTATTGCAGGCTGTTTGATTTTAGAAATGTTTCAGACCTACTTTCTTCATATTGTGAATTCTCAACAAATTTTAGAAATGTAAAATTAACCTTATACTTCAGTATAATAGACTAGTGTATAATTGTTTGAAGTGGTGTGTTCCGTACTAAGTATTTTACCTTTATAATAATATACAATGTCTAAAATATTTTTCTATATTTAATTCTAACTTTTTACTAAATTTCAAAAAAAGTGTTACCAGCATCATGTCATCTAGCTTCAGGATTTTGTTATTCAAATAAACCACATATAAAATGGTAATTTTTTCCTTCACTGCAGAACAATATTGAAAAGAAATTTGTTTTTACTGGTGATATATTTTCACTTTCTTCTATTATACCTTCTTGATTTCTATGCACTTCTTTTTGCAAAAATTGTTCTTCCACCCACCCCAGTAAATCTATGTATTTCATAGCGTGAAAAATAATCTGTATTTAAAAAATAAAGTAATTCAGTTAAATTTATGCTTTCTGCTGTATCAGCATTATCCAATAGAAATATGCTAGCCACATAAATTGTACATATATAAGGAAATAAAAGAAATATTTTAATAGTTTATTTTACTTTTAGATTGAAAATTTAAGTATTAACACAATCAGTCACTATGAAGAAATTTGAACAATAATTGCAGGTACTGGGGTGGAGTTGTTTCAAAATTATCACAGTTAAAGAAAATATTATTATTATTTTTTTTTTTCCTTAAATCGTAATGTTAAATGTATGCTTTGATATCTAAATTTTTGTTGGTCTTGTTAAATATGTACAGTAAACTGAATAACTCAAATGTGAAATCAATAGATGACTCAAAATTGCAGCTTAACGGTTAAAAAATTGTAATAATACTATTAAAAAGGAAGCAGATTAATCTGGCTAATAAATTTATGTAGTTATGCAAATTGAATCCCTGTTCAAAATAAAGAATACACAGTAGTTACACATTAGTACACCCGCCTTGAAAGAAGTTGCTAAATTTTGGGAACCATTCATGGAACAGCTTTAACTAGCAACATTATTTGTGTTTGCTTAATTAAAACGTAAAATCTCTATGTATATAATATTTTTTTTTTTTTTCAGTTATAAGTTAGCATTCTTTTTCTACCGCAGAAAATTGCTAAAAATGCATCAAGGGTGTTGCACCAGTAAATAAGTACCAAATGCACTTTGAAACAAAGAAAACTAAATACAGTCAAAAGTCGTTAATCGGGACTTCGGCGATTCCGGATTATTGATTTTTCCGGATTATAGATCATCAGTTTAAATCTCGTAAGATGGCATGCAGAAATTCTAAAATTAAAAATATGAAACCGTAATTTATGAAATAAAGAACAATTATGATCTAAAGGGTATCAAAATTTACAAAAAAAAAGCTTAATATTTATTTGTTTACTTTATTAAACATTTCTTTCAATGTAAGTTGTTTAAGTTGCTTCGTTTTATGTGATAATACTTTCTCTTTAATTCTATAAACAGACATAATTTCTTGTTCAGTTACAAAGTTCCGCTGTTCAAGTCCCGTTAATTGCTGTGCCGAGAATACCGACTAACTTGACAATCGAAATTTTTTCGTTTTCACTAACCTCTTTTTCACCTTCTTCATGTCTTTATCCATTTTTTGCAGCAATTCCTCTTTTTATTTGATGGACATCGAAACATACTTTCATTTTGTAGATCCTTTGGAAGTTCCAGCATCGGAAATTCTATTTGACATAATCGAAAGTTCAAGTTTACTTTTATAAAATTGCTCTTACAGTCTGCAAAAAATAATAAGCCGGATCCAATTCGAAGATTAAGGGAAAACGCAATTATCAACATTAACTGAAATAGATAATTAGATAATTTTAGCTTATACCATCTATTATACATAAAACGCGCACGCGAAAACGTATTCTGCGCTTGCGCACACACATATGCGCAGTCGTAAAGGCCTTGCGCACACGCGTAATTGCTTATGCGCATGTGTCAACGCGGCGCATGTGCAGAAAGTTTTTAGCTTTGAGGTCCGGGTTATAGATCATTCTGGATTATGGGTGTCCGAATTAATGACTTTTGACTGTACCACTTTTTGCAGTACTCTTGTATTTTAATACGAGTGAATGTGACCAAAATGATTAATGACTATATATGGGACTCATTTTTTCAATTGAGCTGTTTACTTTTAAAGGATGATTTAACAGTGTTGTATATATTGTTGTGGATAAAAGCAATATTTAAATATTACGTCATCATGCTTTCATTGCCGTTATTGCGTTGTTTGATGCTTTGTTGATATACTAGCTTTTCAGTGGAAGATAATTTTCCTTTCTCTTACTAGTTCCTTAGAGGATCCATTAAAAGACCTGAGATATGAGAAATCTGAAAGATAGTTTTTTTCCTTGTGAGACTGATCTGAAGGGAGAAAAAGAAATGAGCCACTTTGCCACTGTAAAATTTGTCTTGACTAGAAATGCCAGGGAAACTGATGTCCTGAAAGCTTGTCCAGCACTGGTCCATATGATCTTTTGGACAAAAACAGGAAAAGCAAGATTATAACTAGCCAGCTAGGTCTTGAAAATTACATAATGCAGCAAAATAGATATTGTTGGTCATAGAACTGTCATATATTCACTATATACAGGAAAATACTGTTCGCATTAGAACAAAAATACATAAATGCTGAAATTGCAGACTTCTGATTGTCAGAAGCCGTTTGGCCAATCAGCTTGCAGTTCCATTAACACAAACATACAAATGCAAAATTGAATAAAGTAATTAACATGTGGATTATGACCCATCAAATTTTTCATAAAAAATCTATTATAAAACCAAGATTACTGCACTCAATTTTCCTCTTGTTTTTTTTTTTTGCAGATAATTTTATTTTTAAACTAATGGTTTGCAAAATTAATTTCTTCTTTGTTCCACAATAAACAAACTTAACCCCCCCTTTTTTTTAAGCTGAGAGATTCATTATTGAGATTTGATTGTATTTTGATTTTACTAATTTTATTGTTGAATATGGTTAAACATGGATAAATTTTGTAATTACTAATTTCTCTACAATAAAACTTTCTTTTTCCCTTTAATGGTCAGTGTCCCCTCCCCCTTTTTTACCCTAGTTAATTTGCATTTGAAACAATAACATTTCATTTCCAAAATTACACTTTTCCTAATTAAGAGATTCAATTTGGGGGGGGGGATAAACTAAGCTACAATCCACTATCTGGTAACTTTGACCAGTATAACATAATTTTATTTATTGCTGAACAGTGGAAAAATTGTCACAAATCATCAATGTAAAACACTACTGTTTGTGGAAAATAAAAATGTCCATAAGACAACAGCAACAGATGTCATTATATTATTTGGGAGCTACTTTTAATTTTAAAGCATTGTACAATGTGAAACAAAAAGCTATGATGTTAAAGCTTCTTCTAAATACTGCTTTGCTTTTTTTATAAACTTTAAACTTAAATTTCAACATTTCTATTGATATTCTTTTGTTATTTTGCATTTTTTTTTTTTTTTTTTTTTTTTTAATCTTGATTTAATTTACACAAATTATCCTCCAGATAAAATTGCTGAGATATACAGGTTGTATTCATATATTTTTTAATTATAATAGTCTTTCTTAATTTTCTCTTTTTTTAAGTGCCCTTTGATGTTTATGGTTACATCCCAATTATTGTCCCAGTTAATAATAATTACAAATAAAAATATATGAACAGCCTTATTTTCTGTATTGATTATACATATGTAGCTAATAACTATTTCTTGCAAAAAGCATATAGCTGTACACTTTTTAATATTAATGTATTTAAATTTGCTTAGCTAAAGGTGGGATGATTTTAGTTTTTGAGTCTTTAGAACTCTAATATCTCAAAGCCTTCATATGAGAATAAAAAGAAATTTTATTTTTTTTCATGAAGCAAAATTTGAGATCTCTTGGTGATTCAAAAATGTTTAAGAACATTATTTTTTAAATGCATATTGGATAATGTATAATAAATGAAATACATTAGTTTAAATGAAAATCATTTATGTGGTAATTGTTTATACTCATGTTAAAGCAACATTCTGTTGTATAGGAATTTATTCCATTTTCTTCTGCAAGAATGCTTTGTTATATAAGGGTTTGTCAGTGATGCTTGTGTGAATATTTGAAATTGTATTTTTAAGATAGGTAGTATATATTAAAAAAAAAAAGACTGCCACATGTTATTTCTTAGGTTATTTATGCTTTTTAAATCTGAATTCTATGCCACTAAGTCCACAATATTCCAGCTTCTTGCTTAGATATGCATAGCGTTTTCCAGAAAGTGCCATTAAAGCTCTGTTAATTCTATACTTTTTGTCTGTTACCCAATGTGGTTTCTGTATTAACTGCAGTACACCTGTCTGTGTCTTGTAGCATTTTTACCTTGTATAATGTAAAAATTTGATAAATAAAAAAAAGGCTTGACAATAGTTTAACAGTTTAATATATATGTATGTTATTTTTTTTAATCCAAAATGAGAACAGATTGTAAAAATTTTTACTATTTATTAAGCATATTGAAATGTGTTTAATGCAGTGTAAAAATTTATGTAATTTAGCATTTATGAAATTTAATTAACAGACACAATGCAAAAATTTATAATATTTTACTTGAATCTAATTTTATATACATGAAATTTTTTTTGTAATTCTTGAAATATGGGCTTTCTTGAAACTAATTTAATTTGCATATAAAAGCATGTGACAGATTTTGTTATGATGAAAAAATTAACACTTATATTTATATAGTTTGTTTTTAATAATCTCATAAAAATGTTTCTATATTAAAAAAATTTATAATAGTACTTTCCCATTTAAATAAAATAACAAAAATGCTTAATTCACAAGCATGAAAAATTGCCAGTTTGCACCCATACAAGATAAGACGCAGATAGCGTATTGTCATTTGTAAAGAAGCAAAAATATTGTAATCCCTTGTATTACTTAATAAAGCAAACTTACCAATTTAAATGCAGGAAATAATTTTATAAGACATTCCAGATTGAAAATATTTAATTAACATTAATGATTGAAATAGTCCTTAGCAGTAAATTTACTCCCTCCCCTTCATTAATTACAGCAGACTTTTTCTTTTTAAATCTTGGTTTAAAATATCATTTAATTAGGTATGTAATGAGAAAGCCCTCTCTTTTGTGTTTGTCTGCATGTACTAATGTTAATGGGAAAGTACTAGAATGATTGTAAGATATTAAGAGTTTTACACCATGTGTTCAATTACTAAGTTTTGAAAGCTGTGTGTATGCATGGAAATGTTATACTGACAACAGTACCTAGTATTTTGTAGGGAATGAATCTATAAAAGCATTTACTTTTTCGTCACAGGATATGTTTCAAATACCTCTATCCAGTCCATCGCTTATAATTTATTTTCATGTTTACTAAAACCACTAAAACATACTCTTGTTTGAAAACCCATTTCACAGTGCAATTTGTTTTTCTATTGTCATTTATACGGAAATGTTGTAATGCTTCCTGTTTATTTTTTATTTTGTGAAATAAATTTCTGCTGACCAAAGTTACATGCAATTGTCATTTTTACTTCTCTTTCTAATAATCATAGTCCTTCACAAAATTTGTTTTATACTTGTTGTATAGGAAATAAAAATATATTTTTTAAAACCGTTTATACGAAGTAAGAGAAATGAAAATAGCAAAAATTACATATGTAATAGTAAACTAAGATTGACAAATGGATTGAAAAAATTATCAGAAGAATTCTTTTCTAGAGTGGCTAAATTTAGTCAAACAGCAAACATCTTTGATTTCTGTTTTGAAGATACAATCATACTGAAGCTTTTATGTGTATTTTGAATTCATTAATGAATACTGTCAACTATCCTAGTTTTTCATTATGTCTTCCAATCCCCCAGTAAATCATTGGATCTCCTGGTTTTTAATAGACTTTTACCTACAAAAATATTTCCCAGCAATAAATTAATTTATTGACTTAATGAATTTTAAATTGTGCAAATTCTTTTTTCCGACCATGGTGATTTTCAGCTTATTCTGAATTGTTTTGATCTATTGTAGACATTTGTTGAGCTTTTTTATGAAGATTCAGTTAATATTTATATTTTGTTATATATCAGTATGCGCAACAATATTATTAAGTTTGTCTGCACAGTTGCACGTATGTGAATTATTAATTTTATTTTCATCGTATTTAAAAGTAATTTGATAAATAAGAGCTTTCTTTTGCTGCATAGGATTTTCTCTGAATAAAAGTATCGCAAAATTAGCAAAAAACAAATAATTTAGAATATTTAATT